ATTTAAATTATTTTACTCATAATGATTACCATCCCTGCTTTTAAAATTTGGAATAAATNAAAATAATGATTAAATGCTGATTTAAATTATTTTACTCACAATGATTACCATCCCTGCTTTTAAAATTTGGAATAAAATAGTTTAGGGAAAGTACCACATTTCACTGCTTTTGGACTGGTGCGGGACTAGTTACTACCGGACTGGTTCGTTTTTGGCGAAAAAGAACTAGTACTGAACTAGAAATTTGGTTCACCAGTTCGTGTTTTCCCTACAGGGTTTAGCCGCTATGTAGTTTCGCCAAGTAAGTCGCCTGTCCAGATGGACTCCTATGTAAGTGGCATGATTGCTTTGTGGTATTTTTACGTTGTTCAAAGTCAAGGACGGACAGTTACTCTTATTCAGTGTAAATGTAACTTGCTTACATTTTTGCTCGTTAACCTTTATTCGCCAATTGGCAACAGCTTCCATATGATTGCCTAGGAGCACAGTTGCTTGTAGAGGACACTTGGAGCGACTGATTATGGCAGTGTCATCGGCAAAAGTGGACATTATCAGGCGGTCGTTTGTAGGAATATCCGCGGTGTATAAGACATACAACATCGGGCCAAGGACACTGCCTTGTGGCACTCCAGCTTCGATTGCATGGGCTTCAGAAATGGTGGTGTTACATCGAACTGCAAACTTTCGATTATAAAGGTATGACTTAAGCAGTTTGTGTGTGCTTTGAGGGAGTAGCATTTGTATTTTATACATAAGACCGTCTAGCCAGACGCGATGAAATTCCTGGGCGACANCTTCGATTGCATGGGCTTCAGAAATGGTGGTGTTACATCGAACTGCAAACTTTCGATTATAAAGGTATGACTTAAGCAGTTTGTGTGTGCTTTGTGGGAGTAGCATTTGTATTTTATACATAAGACCATCTAGCCAGACGCGGTCAAATGCCTGGGCGACGTCAAGAAATATTGCAGCGCAATATTCCCTCTTTTCAAACGCTGTTCGGATTTCGGTTGTTATGCGATTTACTTGCTCGATTATTCCATGCTTTTCCCTGAAGCCAAATTGGTGAAGTGGTATTATGTTGCGGGCTTGCAGATGTGGGGAGATGCGGAGCATAAGAAGTTTTAAGAATAATTTCGACATACACGCTAGCAGGCTGATGGGCCTTAAAAGAATATGGCTGCATTTTATCCTTTCCGGGCTTTGGTATCATGACAATAGTCGACTTTTTCCATTGGTGAGGGAAATGACAATGTTTTGTGATTGCGTTAAATAGCATACAGATGCAAAGTACAGCACAATTTGGTAGCTCAATAATCATTTT